CAACACTGGTGGTGGAAGCAACAGTGCAGGAGGCTACAACACTGGTGGTGGCAGTTACAACTCGGGTGGTGGAAGCTACAACACAGGTGGTGGAAGCAACAGTGCAGGAGGCTACAACACTGGTGGTGGCAGTTACAACACAGGTGGTGGAAGCTACAACACTGGTGGTGGAAGCAACAATGCCGGAGGCTACAACTTAGGTGGTGGCAGTTACAACTTCGGTGGTGGCAGTTACAACTCAGGTGGTGGAAGCTACAATACAGGTGGTGGAAGTTACAGCACCGGTGCTCGAGGTCTGAGCACAAGTGTTGGAATCAGCAATGCTGGAATCAGCAATGCAGGAGGGTACAGCAGAGGTGGCGGAAGTAGCAAGTCAGGTGGTGTTGGGTACAGCTTAGGTGGTGGCGTTGGATTGGGTATGCCGAGTGTGGAGGATTCTTCGTTGATGGGGTACGGAAAGGGTGCTAAGCTGTCGGGAGCAGCGGAGACAGATGCAGGTGTAATAATTCCTCTGTTGGCGTCTGTGGTGGCGAAGTTTTTTGACGACTCGTCTATGGGTTCGAAGATGCGTTCAGTAACAGACATGGTATGTCAATTATCTGATGCGGAAGCTGAGTCGAAGATGTTTCAGGATTCGGTGTACTTCTGTTTCGTGGAGGACATAGTTGCAGCTACATTGATATGTGGAGAGTCTGAGCAGTCTATAACGTGTCCCAAGTCATTGGTGGAGTATGCGCACACACGTGAGGATTTCCCATCAACGAATTGTATGGTAGCAAATTCAACATTGCATACAGGTACGATTCCGAACGTGGTGAATTTTAGTGATGACGACTTGATATTACCATTATTGATGGTGGATTTATTACGTTCTAGTAATGAGAAAATGTTACCACGATTTATACCTACCAAAGTGAGTGTGCAGGAATCTCTAACCTACCTGCTACTATATCGTTCCTGTATAATTGCAGCGAGCTATTCTCGTCAACCTTATCTATGTGGTGCTGACAAAGTAAATGCACCAGTGTTAGTACCAGGTTGGCAATTACCTTTAGTACTGACATTAATGCCGGAGGGTGATCCTATTTTCACCGCTAAGGATTTAAAGAATGATGGGGTACCATTGGTATTTATTTCACAGTCAAATGTATCCCCATGCTCCTTCCTTATAACAGTCCGTGGTACAGCTACAATGTTCGAATGGATCCAAGATTTTGAATACTGGCAAACACCATTTTTCGCGAACCCGAAAGTGAAAACACATGTTGGATTCACTCGGATATTAAGCTCTGTACTTGCCGCACTTGAAGACTTTCTTGTAGCACAATCTGAACGCAATCAATGCAGCTGTCGGAATACACATCTATTCTTTACCGGACACTCACTTGGCGCCGGAGTTGCACAGTTACTCGCTCTACATTTCGCAGATCGCTATAAGTCTACCCAATGCCCACTAGATGTTTCAGCCGTTGTCTTTGCACCACCAAGAGTCTTCAATGATTATGGAGCTGCTCAATGGCGTAGAACCGTTAATGGACGGGTCGTTCTAGATTCCGGAGATGGCCTTGCTTACATGCCTTGTTACGATGGCAATAGCAAGGCCGGATGGGCACGATGCAGTCGCGGACATATGCCACTACCTGGACGAGGTCGTGATCATTATTCAGATAATTATGGCATCGTTGAAATCAACGTCGAATATGTTGAGAAAAAAGGCGGGAAAACACTCGAAACTCTCATGCAGTCCCTATTCCCATCAGGCACCACTCAAGACGAGCCATCTGTACTCTCCACACTCTTCTCTAAACTCGTCGAACTCGGCATACCCGGATTAGGACGCATTCCAAGTCTTGGAGCCATGGGCGCCTCTCATGTCTGCTCTGCCGCCTGCAAATTCAGCCAAACCGCATGCGGTGGTGATTTCAAATGGTGGTGTGATAAATGCCCCATGCTACTCTAATACCATGATACTCTAATACCATGCTACCCACTCCTTTTTGGCATCATACACCGTCCATCAACCATTCTAGACCCTTTCAAAACAAAATCACACACATCGAATAATGACAGCCACACTGCAAGTAAATACCACCCTATAAGTGTTCACCAAGCACACGTCCCATCCCTCACTAAGCATCCATCCCGTCACCATGTACCCTTACAATACGCCTGAGTCAACGGATCTGATTCCACTCGCTCATTAAATCTGTAGGAGACTTCTTTCTTAATCTGGGGCTCCAGGAGGCCTTGTGGGATGTCCACCACGGGTCTATTAAACTGGCTTACATACGTAGACATCGCCACTGCAAGGACATGTTTGTCATCGCGCAATTTTGCTCTCACTCAATATGGTCACATTCATCTGCTTTTTTTCAAAAACGTGTCTGGATCAATCCCACATGCATCTCGACATGATTACTGCCCATGTTGCGGGCCATTCCCTTCTCCTCCCTCCTCCATTCCTTCTCCTCTATTCCCTTCTCCTCTATTCCCTTCTCGCTCTTCCCCTTTTCTCTGTGCTCATCCACATATCTATGTCTATCTCCCTCTACGTATCTATCTATCTATCTATCTATCTATTTGCGTTAATCAATGCTGCCGTCTCTCAGTCCGCTGAGCCATCTCCGATGGTAAAGGCGTAGTCCTTCTTCTTCTTGACGTCCTTGTCTGTGTCTAGATTCGCGATAATAATAGCTGCCAAGAGAATCATCGGGCTCAGACCCACAGCTAGTTTGGCAGTGTTGGTAAAGAGAGACCACACATTGGAGCCAAGTAGGTAATCGATCATTTATTTCTTATTGTCCGTATATAAGACCAGGCTTGTCCGTATATGAGACCAGGCTTGTTGATCAGTCGTTGGTTGCAGCAAGTAGTGTGGTTGCAGCAAGTAGTGTGGTTGCAGCAAGTAGTGTGGTTGTAAAAATAATAAGGAATAAAATGGGGACGGGTAAAGTGGTTCCGTCCATTGTGTTTGGAGAGGCGGGCAGGGGGGGTTTACAATCTCATAGGCCACATTGTCGGTATGACAGTGCGATTATGGCGACCAATGGAAAGGACAAGGCCATTACCGTCAAGCCAATGGCCAGTGGCAAGTCTGAAGTCAAATCATGGAGGGGGGAGTTGGGTAGTACGAAGTCCCGTGGTCATTTGAGTCGTAGTTTATGTTTATGTTTAGATGACTTTGAAATAGATCGTGAGGTTGTTTGTGAGCTATTAAGTCGAGATTTAGTGCACGAGGCATTCTGGTCAATGATGGCTATGATTGGGAAGCATTCGGGACAGAGAATAGTTGCTGATGATGACCTGTTTGTGTGTGTAGCTAAATATGACCATATGGTGTCTTGTCTGGAAATGTTTAGTTTACTGAAACCGACACATATGGAACATTATTCTGAACCAACATCGGCTCATGATGGTTGGCCTCGTGAGATTATTCGGATGACCAACGGGGCGTATAACAAAAGCAAGCGTTTACAAGCCTCAATCCCTCAGCAGAGGGAGTGGACTAAATTTTGCGAATCATATCAGAAACGACAATCTCAGGAAGGACGAACATATTATGGACCTGATTTTCTACAATCATCCGTTCAACCGGTAGTCTGTGTCGATGATCCAACTTTATTTGCGTCTTATGTACTGGATCCCAAGGTCTCGGTTCAGAAAACACAAATTTTAGCACAATCCTGGATCGATCTTAAATTTGATGGTTTACTTTCTGTTACCGCACAAGTGGATATGACCAAGTTCTGGGTACCCAGCTTTAAATTCCCAATCCGATTGGGACTCAATGAAGCTGTAGAAGTCGTAAGAACTGGCAGAATGGAACGAACAAGCTTATATAAAGTTGATCTTCCTTGGCCCGTAACCAATCGACAAGTCTACCTTCATGGATGGCTGGCCGATGACCTTCATAACCAGTCCGCTATGATCGTATTCAGGGCATTCGAACCCGAAAATTACCCCTACCATCCCTTACTGCAAACCCTTGATCCCAAATCCCTACAAAAAACAGATGGATTCACCGATATGTTCGTCGAAGGCTGCTGCCTTATTAGCCATATTGACATGTCCAAAAATAAAGTTCTCGCCAGACTCTTCTGGAACATTGACCTCAAAACGAGAATACCCAATATACTCATCTCATTTGTCACCAAGTATGTTCTCCTAAAAAGTGTGTGCACACACTTTTGGCTCCCAGATCATCGATCAATTGGGCCTTACACTGGCCGCTATATGCTCCACCATTCGCTACATACTCCACCCCCGTACCTGGCACACGCGCAGTTAGTCAGCTAGTTTGTTTCTTAGTGATAGTCACCTTCGTAGAACTTTCATTCGCATGGGGCTTAATGCGTTAGCTCGCGCCTGCAAGGACGCCTCAGAATGCAACGGCGAATGGAAGGCAATTCGAGACCGAGATCCGTGGCTATATGAATACATTTCACGAAGACTCACTGAAGAACGAAATAATGCAGACAACGTGTCGCTAATACCGGATTCTACTTTCGGCACCGATTCGCCGAGCAGAGTTTCGAAACGGAGCAGGTGGCGGCGGTTTAGAAAGAGCACTGTCAGCTCCATCAAAACGTGACCCACCATCACATGAGCGTCTGCGAGCCTTAACAGGCATGAGAGCCTCAACAGGCCTGAGAGACCAGAACAACTCTCTAAAGGCCAACATGTCGTCTCTGCTATCGTCGAAGAAGGAGGCTTTTCTCCTTTCAAATGGTCGCCGTGCCCGACATATCACACTGGCGGCTTACGACCGACTTCCAGCTAGAGTACTTCGGGCGAGTGCATTGAAAACGTGCGGCGGCTCGGGGATGGGAATGACGTGTCGGGAGAAATCTGTTGGCGGGACTAGGTCTACGGAGTCCCAAACGCTCAGCTTCTGCGCAGAACTAGAAACCGTTGAGGAGATGGATCCCTTAATGCGATTTGTCACATTTTGTATAATAAAGCCTGCAATATACGTTCATAATCTGAGCTGTACAGGTGCCTTGGGCTACGCTCATAATCTGAATTTGAATTTATGCACACGCGTGTGCACACACGCGTGTTTGCGCGCGCATTTACGCGAGGTGTAATATTACAGATGAGGCATATGAGGATGATGGTGAGTAATAGTTTGCAGCAGAGATTGAGTCCTGAGCCTGAGTGGACGAGTGACTGCATGGAGTCGTTGATTTTGATGACTTCTTGGTTGGCTTCGTCGGCTTGTCTGCTGAGGTCGATGGCGAGTCTCGCCTGTGCTTCCAGTTTGGCGCCCATGCCTTCGGCAATGTCTTTGAGTTTATCTACGCCTTTACCGACCTCGAAAATACGTTTGTCGAATTCTTTGTCCCGCGCAGCCCAGCGGCTGATAACGGCCATTTCTTCGGCCGTCGGCTCCCGCCATGCCCCTTCCCCGCCGTCAAACTCCGCAGGCGCCTGCACACCAGCCTGTTCCATCTGCTTCACGAAGTCCGTCAGCTGCATTACCTTCTGTTCCGAATATGCGGACGCGTTCTTGGACAAGTCCCGGCACTCTTCGATTTGCTTTTTGATCACCTGCAACTCCTCAAAACGCACGTCCAACTCAGCCGGATCCACCGCCCGCTTACTCGCCTTCTTGAACGCCTCCTTCAACTGCTGGAACTTATTCACCATCATGTCATTGTTCCGATTTATCAATGATGCCTTTTGAATCGCATCGACACTGTTCCCCTCCGCTGCCAACAAATCGGCCCGGTCACGGATCGCCTTCTTCGTTTCCAAAATCGTACCATACACCTCCTTCTTCAGCCTACAACAAACACATCTCCCCAACCGGACAGACTCTCCCGAAGGACTGGGGGCTGAAGAGACCCGAAGAGGAGAGGACGGCTTCGGGACTCGGAGTGGGGGTCTGGAAGGGGAGCTCGTGCTAAGGGGAGACTGTGAAGGAAAGAGAATGAACGGTCCGGATGAAGCATACAAAGTAAAATCGTCAAGCTGAGCCTCCTGTTCCACCTCAGTGCCCAGGCATGCTTGCTCAATCTTGGTTACCTGCAGTAGCGCCTCCTGCAATTCCCTGCCGAGGGTGCTGAGTGGTGCTGTCTTCACTGGAATTACAGTTGAGTCATGTACCATTTATTTTAGCCAACCACCACCCACATATGCTTGCCATATCCGGCTCCCTCACCTTTGGTGCAACATCCTACCATCAATACGCCACCCCCCCCTTTACCCCCCATAGCGAACCAAAAACGCGTTGCCGAGTTTTTTGTTAAGACCGCCACGCCCGCTAATGGTTGATGCCCTGACAACGGAGCACGGCGCAAGAACGAGACGTTGGAGAGCTACCTGGTCTGCGGTGCAATGTGGCCTTTTGAACGGACTGCCAATAGCTTGCCTGTGTCTCTGGAATAAAGGGCAACTGCCGTGGCAGAGACCTAAAGCCTTTAGAGTTCCTTTTCTGGCCAGAATTGCATTCCCGACGGGCATCCCAGACGTCCTTTCAAAAAGCCAAGCGAGAAAAGTGCTCAATGTCAAGTAAACATTCATAACAGTGACACGCACTCGTGTGCTCAATGACACGCACTTGTGTCCTGTACATATGTGGACGTGTCCATACACGTACGTACCCGTACATGTACGTGTCCATGCACGTTATGACACTCATTGTGGACGTTGTAGGAGTAGTTCCACAGAAGACGTTAACAAAGCGTTTAGAGAACTGATGAAGCGGAACCACCCCGATATCTCCGGTAGGTAAAATGTGGCGTCAACAGACCGGCTGATGTGAGCGTGATGCCTACTCTGACACGTCACGGGCAACAGGTGCTCAACCGGCCAGGAGGGAAGGGGGGGGGGGGGGGTCAATATCCGCTTGGGGGAGGTGTTGGGCGGAATAATCTGCGACCGCCCTTGCAGGTTCGAATAAGATCGCCTCGGCCCTTTCGTCAGCGCGATCGAAATTAATTTTTTAAACGATGAGTAAACGTGTCGGTGTCAAGGAAGAGCTTGCCCAGGACATAAACCCCGTAAGCACCACACTGGTAACCGAGCTGATTCATGGATTGGCCGTGAAGGCGGGCGGGTCAAGGATGACTGGGACTGTGCAGAATGGATTGGGTAGATCGGATCCGTTTTGGGCTAGTCACCTGACCTGTGAATCGAATGCCTTCATTTATACGTCACGAACATGATAAGAACACGGGAGCTCTTACGGTTGCCGACACCCCAGTGGTTGGGACCTCAGTGGCTGGGTCCCAAAAGACTGGTCACGAAGTTAATTCCTCAGGACGACGAGTGGAATGAGCAAGACCGCAAGGAGTCTCGATACAACCGCATTCGGGCTCGTGTGCCCACGGGACACCCGCAGTTGGCGAAGAAGCTGTTGGCCAAGAGAGATGAGTTGACGGAGGAGAGTTGCAGCTATGAACAGTCGACTAGCAACTGTTCGTCTAGTGAGGAGGAGCCTGTGGAAGAGCCGCCGAAGAGGAGGTCTTCCAGGCCGTCGAAAACGGGTGGCGATGGACAAGTAGAGAAGACTGCGAAGAAGAAACCGTCGTCCTCTGAACGGGGTCATCGCGACTCAACGACGAAGGACCGCGAGAGTGGCAGAGAACGCGAGAGTGGCAAAGACCGCGAAAGTGGCAAAGACCGCGATTGCGGCAGAACTCGAGAAAGCGGGAAGGACCGTGACGGTGATAAAAATCGTGACGGTGATAAAAATCGTGACGGTGGCAAGAACCATGACTCCCTGAAGGAACGATCCAAGGATCGTAGTAGCAGGGACCGCAGTAGGGATCGCACCAAGGAGTCGACCAAGGAGTTAACGAAGGCCGGGTCAAGCAAGGAAGCGAAAAAAGAGCGCAGATCTGAGAGCCGGACCTTGGAAAGCCGGACTTCCGAAAGCCGTTCCTCTCCGGATAGAGTTAAGGAAGAAAAGGAGCGCTCACATAGAAGACACCATCACCATCACTCGTCCTCCTCCAAGACTACTTCCACTAAAGAGCATAAGTCGAAGAAACATCGACACCACGATAGCACTTCAGACGACTCGGACGAAAATTCTGACGTATCCATTCAAGTTATTGTACAACAGAGTAACCTTCTGACCCATCGTTGACCCGCACCTGACCTATAGTTGCCACGGCTAAGGGGCGTGTTCCACACACACGGGATGAATGCACACACACCCACACAGGATGAATGCACGGGTGCACACAAAATGCGTACAACATTTGGTTTCAAGAGCCTGTGAAGAAATCATCGAGAAAGAGCGAGAAGAGATCTTCTAAGCCTGCGGCGGAAGGAATACAGTTTGGTGAGAGGAAGGTGCTGGATAGCGAGGAGGGATCGGATGACGGGTGGGAAGATCGTCACCAGGAACGATTCTCTCGAATTAGAGCCAGAGTGTAAGCAATCTCCTCCTACGGTTTATTATCGGTGTTTTTAGTCCGACTGGTCATCCTGGCTTAGCAAAGAAGGTTGCTCAGCTTAGAGAAGCTGTGGAGGCATAGTTGTATTTTTGGTTGGTTGAACTTTGCCTGTGTATTCAAATCTATTTGGGTGATTTGAGGCACAGGTTGGATTTGAACCCGGGGTTGGCCGGTTCGGAATCATACTTGGCCAAGTGGCGGGTGGACGGGGGTGCAGGTGCACTATGGCGACTCCACACTCTCCAAGGACGACCGCAGGCGGGCCCCTGCCGAGCGAGGCGGCCACTTCGAAGCAACCAGCAGGAAAACAGGCGGTCGGAAAGGACCTGGCACAGGGCTCGATGAAGTTGCAGGGACTCAGCACCCCCCCTCCTCCTGCGAAGACGCCTACGCCTGGTGGGAAACCTCCGTCTCCTACAGGTGTGCTGAAGTTCCAGGCGAATACGAAGAACCAGACCACCACTGTCCTCGAAAATGGTACGAATGCCCCTCCCAAAGGGGCAAGCCCGGTTTCGATCCCACGTTCAGTTTCATCTACTTTTTTTTTCAGTTGTGAGTGAGTTGGAGCGGAAGGCACGTTACTACTGGTTATTGTTTAACCGGGAGAAGCGTAAGAAGGGTGATTTACAGAATCAGAACTATTATCTATTGCACGAGAATTTGAAGTTGAATGAGCACGTGCGTGACGAGGGAGCGAAATTGAGTATTTTGGAGACGAAGTTAAACGAGATACGTGCGGATCCTGCGACGTTGAAAGCGATATTTGAAAGAGTGCAATTATTGTATTATCAATTTGATACATTGACACAAAGTCTGGCAGGTGTGTGTGGTACATTAGCATTCGCACCACCGGATACTGGTGAGGAAAAGATTAAATGTATGTTGGACTATTTATATCCCTGCCGGGCATTGGACCCACGACTGGACGGTTTGTTTGGCGCTATGTTAGAGATAGCTGCGGGCATTAGACAGATGCCAAAAGATGTTCAAATTCCACCACCGCCAGGGTTTAGCGCATTGGTTAAGGAGGGGGCATATCCATGGAGTGTAGGGGGTGATGCACCAATATACATCCGCAATCTGTTTCAACCGGATGCATCTGGTTCTCAACTTCTCAAAGCTCAAATGCTGGCAAAAGAATATCTTGCACGAGAAGTCGATCGAAAACAGGGCGATGAATCGGTTGTGCTAAAAGGCTTCATTCTAGAATTCGGTGAAATCACACTACATGACCACAAGTACCGTACTCCAAGCGGTAAACTCGTTGTAGTATGCCGCTTCGACAATGAGGCCACCAACGAAGTTAAACGCGATCACGCACGCCAGGTTGTAGGATTTGATCTAGATGAACAAGATCGCGCCACCGTTCGTCAACGAATAGACCTAGACAAACTACCACCCAAGGTCGCCAACAATATACCCTCTTTCGTATTCGATGTCTACGACGAACTAGACCCAAAAATTCCACTCTTCAGAAGCACCGTCTCCTTCGTAGACCCACTCACTCTCAAATCCTTCCCCGAATACCCCCTACTCACTCTCTCCGGATCTGGCGAACAAGTAGGCACACTCAGCTTCAACCTCTCAGCCAAACCTAGAGACGCCGCACTCCCTGCCACACGCTATCAATCATTCAAAGAATCGGCTCGCGCTAATACCGGCATCGACACTCTCAAAAGCGCCGCTGGCGGAACCGGCGGCGGAGCCGGCGGCAAACGTGGCGGCGCTGGTGCCTTCGGCCGCGGAGACGGCGCACAGGAGTTCGAGGCTGCGCGCCGTACAGGCGCGCTGCCCTTCGGCGCGAACCTGCGAACCCGCGGCCCCGGCGCCGAGATCGGACCGGCCGGCT